CAGCTTCAATTATTCCCTGCCGCCCAAATTGTCTCGAGCGTTGGGCGATGGAAAACTCCAACGCTCTGACCTGCCAGTGCATATCCACAGGGCCGAACTGTCTCTTCCTTGTCCTCTGCGCTCGAGTACTGACCAGGGCTTTTCACGCAGAGTATCTCGTCCTTTCGGCCGTATCCAGACGTCCGTCCTCGTTCCCAACCATGGATTGACCGGGGATGCTAGCCACCTGCTGTCTTGGCGTCCAGTTCCCAGGCCTGGTCATTCCCCCTTCTTCTTTCCTCTTGCACGGTCCCTAGACCTGCCCTCCCACTTTAAGTACGCCTTAAATTGTCTGCGTATCAATTTTAACCTCTTCGACTTCCATTCAAGGACTAGCATCAGGAGTACAGATAAGTGTCCTGATTCAGGTAATAAAAACCCGTAAATGCACATCGCCTTTTGTACACGATAAAGGCATTCAGTACTTCTTTGCCACTCTGTGTCCTCGGGGTGTTTAAAAAGTGACGTTGTGTTGGAGAGCTGGTGATTTGCATTGGAGACTTTGTCCCTTTAGAGGCCGGCTGACAATACGGTTGTTAGGGTTTTCCTGGGTCGGGTGAAGACCTGACTGACAATGGAAACCCAGTGAACCACTTCGTCGTCGACTTTGATGCAGCGTGAGAGTGTGCTGCCTAAATAGGCGAAGTTGTCCACGGTCTCCGGTTGGGTGCCGTTGACGTGAATGCAAGGAATATTGTATGCAGCATTGGGTGGCTGTTGACATATGGCCGCCGTTTTGTCCATGCTGATGGCCAGCTCGAAGTGGACGTGGTCCGAGGCAGAACAATCTAGGCTCTTTAGCATACCTTCTTCTGTCTTGGTTTTGAGCGCGCAGTCTTTCGTAAGGAGCAGATCGTGGACAGTGGTCATGGAGAGACGCGTTGGAGCTTGTATGCATTGGCTGTTGAGATGACCGTCGGGCCTGTAGGCGATTCGGATCGGGTACGCCATTACGGTAGGTTCCATCGGAATGACAGAAAACTCGAAGCCGAAGAGGGTTGAGGCAAGTACGCAGCCCTGCCTCGCTCCGTTGGTTACTGCGAATGCTTCTGAGACGGCCCTATTGACCGCGTCTTGTGCCTTCACCCTGTCATGAAGCTGACGTACCATGTGCGTGAGTCATTGAGGGCAACTGACTTTCTGCACGAGTTTTCGCACCCCATCGCGACTCACCGTGTCGAAGGCTTTCGTCAGGTACGCGAAGGTATTGTGAGGGTTGGCCTGCAGTTCCTAGGACTTCGCTTGCCGCTGGCGGGTGACGAAGATCACGCCGTAGGTTCCACGGTGACTCCGAAATTCACACTGGCCTTCGGAGAGAAGTCCCTACTCGAGATTGCCGCTGAGACAGTTAAGGAGAATGCAAGCGGAGATCTTTCCGGCAATGCTGAGCATCGAGATTCGTCTGTGCCGGCTCTCCTTCCGTTTGCAGAAATTTACGATCGGCACATCCTATAAATCCTGGCAAGCTCGTCTTTAACGTCACATTCGGAGCCAGCGTTGTTC